GGTGGTGCTCTGAATGGGTAAGTGGGTGGGGACGTGGATTGGAGCTTGAAGCGGTAGGTAAGTGGGAAGTTGCATGGGTGGGTGGGTTATAAGGAAAGTATTTAATTTTAAAGAGAATTGGTTCGTTAGTGGAAATTGGGTGGGTTAGTTGAATATTCCTGTGTTAATTCCACGTGGAGAGATGAGTTTCAGGAGTGAGTTAGTATGACGTGGGAGGGAGGGTTGCATGCTCTAATTCAAGACCTGTGTGTGCGTGTGTGTGTTTACCTATTTGTGGTTGCAGGGGTCGAGTCATATCTCCTGGCCCCGCCTCTTCACTGATTGCTACTAGGTCCTCTCTCTCCCTGCTCCATGAGCTTTATCATACCTCGTCTTAAAACTGTGTGTGTGTGTGTGTGTGTGTGTGTGTGTGTGTGTGTGTGTGTGTGTGTGTGTGTGTGTGTGTGTGTGTGTGTGTGTGTGTGTGTGTGTGTGTGTGCGCGCGCGCGCGCGCAAGTGCATGTTCTCATGTAGCTGTGTCTGCGGGAAGTTGACCTCCAGCTGATGGGCAACGAATCTCCATCTCATCGATTTTTTTTCTGATGTGGCTTGCACCAGGCTTGCACCAGGCTTTCACTAGGCTTGCACCTGGCTTGCACCTGGCTTGCACCAGGCTTGCACCAGGCTTGCACCAGACTTGCACCAGACTTGCACCAGACTTGCACCAGGCTTGCACCTGGCTTGCACCAGGCTTGCACCAGGCTTGCACCAGGCTTGCACCAGGCTTGCACCAGACTTGCACCAGACTTGCACCTGGCTTGCACCAGGCTTGCACCAGACTTGCACCTGGCTTGCACCTGGCTTGCACCAGGCTTGCACCTGGCTTGCACCAGGCTTGCACCAGACTTGCACCAGGCTTGCACCAGACTTGCACCAGGCTTGCACCAGGGCTCTGTTATTACACCTTGTCAATCCTAAATTAAGACACCTACTACCTCTCTTTCACTTAATAATTCATTGTTGTTCTCGCGATTCTCGTCTTCTCAAGCAATCTTTTAGTTTAAAGATAAAACGCAAAATAAGTCGGAATGAACGAAGGTTAATGAATAAACATGAGATTCGAACCGTGGTTCATGTGTATAGCAGGCCCAATGCTGTAAACACTCAGCCATAGAGCTTACAATAGAATAATTTTACAACGAGCACTTCTGTGACGTATTTGTATCAGCGGCACTAAGTGTGACCCAATTGTTTCATCCCACAGCCACAGAAGCTTTCACGGTATATATCCTCAAAAACCAAGTAGTCCATGAACCCAAGATATGATTCTGTATCTTTCATGACTTAAGAATATCCCTTCTGAGTTTTCACTCTTCTAGTGACGTAAGTTTCACTGCATTCAGTCTTTCCTTGTACTTCGCTGTGCCCGGCTCCTCCACAAGTTTGGTTGCAAACCTCTGGACTTTCTCAAGCTGCTGAATTTTCTGGAGTAAGAGCAGGTTCCAAACTCTTGCTACATGACGTAGTGGACATCGTCTTGAATGACTCCCTGTTTAGATCTCTGGAAACAGTTCCTACGAGTGCCAGGCATGCGCAAACTGCGAATGTTACGTAGTTAATATGCACCTCTGCTGAACTGTTTGGTGAGGAGGTATCACGACGTGGTGGAGGTGACAGTAAGACTCATGATAATGCTCGACTCTTAAATTTTCCTCTTTGATGCCCCCTGGGTCCTCTTCCTTCTCTACTTGGGAAGAAAATATACACGTTACTGAACAGTTTTCTTTCTTTGTACTTTTTTTTATAGGAAAAGCATAGCAAAACGTTGTCTCAGTTTAAAGCTTGTTTTGCTTCCCTCCAGGCTGCATGTTGTCTCCTTTTTTTTTTTTTAATCACGTCAGTTGCTTTCCACCAAGGAGGGGAACGCCAAAAAAAGGGAAATACATTATCGTAATTCATTCAATGGCTTTGTCTCGCCAGAAGAACGAGGACATCAAAATACAAATGACCCTCTGAATTGCAACATCCCCAACTCATCCTTCAGAGTGCAGACACTGCACTTCCCACCTTCGAAGTCTCTTTCCCGTGCACGTTTGCACTTGCTTATTTAGGGATGTGTTTGAGAGAGAGAGAGAGAGAGAGAGAGAGAGAGAGAGGGGGGGAAGGGGGGAATCGACTCCCCCAAGATGCGTAACCTAACTGCCTCAGCAGTGACCTAATCAACCAGGTCAGCAGATGACCCATTAATGGATCTTGTCCGAGGTGTTGCTAGGGGGGTATTCAGGAATCTTCAGGTGCCAGTCTAGTCATCAGTGGCGTCATAAGGCGGGGGGGGGGGCGCCCCAGGTGACACCATCAAGGGGTGACACCACAGAGCCTCTAAAGAACGTGTCACTAATGCCCAAAACAGTGATGTAGCAACATAAGAGAAAAATCCTTTGGTTCTATGTAGCTTAATACATATTATTACAGAGTACAAATAGGCCTATATAGGGAAAATCAATGACACTATACTAAAAACTACGATAAATCGATAAATTTATTTACGATATTTTGGAAAAAAAACCTAATCCACCTGGCATCACTTTTTTTTTTTTGCATTTGCGGTATTTGAGTTTATGTTTCCTCAATATTACTACGATTATTTATTATATCATCAGTAAAGTTGAGAAGTATTCTCCTGTTCGATTTATGTCCCTTAAACGCCAGTTACGTCACTACTGGACATGCAGTAGTGACGTAACTGGCGTTTACTTCCCCGTCCCCCAGCCCTTGGATTTCATAGGGGTGGCACCAAAGATGCCGCCCCGGGTGTCACCAACCCTAGCAACGCCACTGCTAGTCATGTTATTCCTTATCACCTGGAGGTAATTACTCTGATCCCCAGTCTTGTGTGTGAGATGTACAGTCTTAGTGGCAGTGTGAAGCTGGTGGTGGTGGCCAGCGCTGATGATGATGGTGGCGGCGGCTGTTCTGATGGTGGATGGACGTTGTCGACTCCCTTCCTCGCTCACAACTCAAGAACCCGAGTCTAATATTGGGCAAGTGGAGGCTATGGGCAAGTCTGCTGATACTGCCCCTGTTCTCCTACCAGTCAATAGGATGTTTGTCAACTGGTGTGGTTCACATCTTGGGAGGTGGGATGGTAGGTATACTTTACATAAGTTTGGACTCTCAAATACACCGGAGGCTATAATTTCAACGGTAAAAAACTAGAATAACTCAAATACGCTTTAATTGTTGGTTAGAGCCACTAGCACCTCAAAGACTCTTCCAAGTCTATAATCTGAAGAACTTGGCAAATTTTCCCCATTCATGTGTCTGGCTCCTCCTTGGGACCAGTCGTGGGTGACCTGCTTGAAGAAAATATTGGTACAGGTTTGTGCATTTTGCCACCGAAGAGACTATTATATGGTGCACCTCGTATCTATTATATGGAAGGCAGCGGCTAGTTTATATATATTCTCTGGACGGTAGTAGTTAGTTTACTGTACACTCTATACTCATTTTCTGGAGGGTATTAGCTTGTTTGTAGTGTACCCCGTATCGATCCTGTGGACGGTAGATTGAGTAGATTTTGCCGCCGAAGTGGCTAGTTTATTGTGCACCCGATATCAATTCTGTGCAGGGTAGCATAAGAGCATATGGATACACAAAATGCCTAGGAACTAGGCCCCAAAAGGTTATAAGAGTTACATCTGGATTTATATCTACAGTTGATTCATCCGTTGAAAGCAAATCTAGGAAATTTGATTAATATATCTGATATCTTATTTTCATTAATAAGATATCAGATATATTACTGAAGATTGGCCGTAATGTTGACGGTAGATGATGGTAAAGAGACACATTATCAACACCACCATCAATGTACCCCAGTGATGAAGGTGTTGCCAACGCGACCATCCAGGAATCTTCGTGTCATCAGTGTTAGCAGCGCCACTACCCAGGTACCCAGACTGTTTCGAAGGCTCGGCAACATACTTGGGCTGAGGAATGTGCTTGTGCTGAAGATTGAAGCTATATTTGCCCATGTCATCCATTTATTTTGTTTTTTTTAAACGTGTACCCCGGAGCAAGGAATTCACTGGGAAGCGGCAAACTTTCCCTAGGGAAGAGCTGGTCAGTTACCCCATCTTCCACAATGGAAATAAGTCACTTTGTTTGACCTTTTTTTATGAGGGAAGGGGGTTATCCTAGATAATTTACACTGTGATAATTGCACTTTTGTGCACCTGCGTCTAAATAAACTTGCTTACATACACAACCAGCATCCAAATAACGTAGTGCCTATGCTAACGAAGACCCTTGTTGGAGGTTAAGCTTGAATCGCCCCAACGTTTTACTCTGTTCGACAAAATCAGACATTCTTTTGTAACACTAGGGACTTTATTTCGTGCCTAGCACTGTTTTAGTGCATGTAAACTATGTTATCCTTACGCAGCATAGAGAGATATAAAAATTTAAATTTCAACTAGGCTGTGCGTGGTTAGACGTCACCTCCAGCTGTTGAGGTTGTGACATACACAGGTTAGGTGAGATTTGTCAGGAAATAGGACAAGTGTTTCCTGATGCAGGTCTTAGTTATATGATGACCCGTCGCTGGAGCTTTTGGTCATCTGACCGAAGCCTTCCTCTGGCTTATCGGTCCACCCTTTTAAAAATTAAGGATATGATTATAACCACTTTTCTGTGACAGCATACACAGGGAGGCGGGGGAGAGTTTTCTCTCCCAGTACAGACTAAGAATGATAAGTCGAGTATTTCACTGGCGTGAAGAAAAAAAAGGTATAGAATACTGACACGATGAAATCAGTGTATTGAGATCCATTATTGACAATAAAGAAATATCAATAAAGGATCCAATTACATTGCATTCGTAACTATTTCCACTCAGTTGGTTTTTAACACCAGGGCTGTTTCCTCCCATGTTAAAAAATTCAGAGTTGTGTGATGCTAATGGGTTTTGTGCTTTTTCCAAAAGTAACTTTAAATAATTAAAGTGACTTCCCGTAACTTACCTGTAGTGGCTTCCCGGGGGATCATTGTCTTTTTCCCTGCAGCCAGATCCCAGACTAGGCCTCCGTGTTGCTGCTGGTCTGATCGATCAGGCGGCGGCGGCGACGGCGGCGACGGCGGCGGCTCCTGCTGCTGCTGCTGCTGCTGCTCGCCGGCCAGGCTGTCGACGTGGGGAACTTAGTGATAAGATGAGCCAGAGTGTACAAGGGTTGAGATGAAGTGACTGAAGGTAGAGTCTGTGAGACCTTTACCCACTCTGCCTGAAGTATCCCAGCAAGTGAGCACGTCTCCTGTGTTATCCCAGTGCTTAACAAAATAGGGAATAGCATATGGAGGTACAAATAAAAATGGGAACTATGGCTATAGTTTACTTAATAACATAAAAGGGCTAGAATACAACATATCCTGATGGAAATTGACATCACAAGTCGTCGTCGTCTTCTTATTCTTCTTTTTTATGATTATATTATTTGTAATACTTACAATAATATTTTATGTGAAGAGCTAAATCCGTATGGGTTACTGAACTAGACACACGCAGCTTCTGACTCATACAGAGCTTGAAGGCTAAAATTTCCATGTGATCATGGGATTAATATTAACAACAGCCTGGCTGATCAGAGAGCAGGGCTAAGAGGAGCTAACGGTGTATCGAGCCTCCAGCATCTCCTTTCACCAAATGATAACCCCCCCCATCCCCCACAGGGGTTTAGCGCATCAGGGAACGCAGTGCAGTACAGGTGATGTTGAAAAGCAATACCAGCAGAGAGGACTTGCACAGTTCTATTGTGAGTGAAAATTAGCTCCTCTTCTGTCACCACTGAAGAGGGGCTTTCTCTACCCCAGAAACCTCTCTGTGCTGTGTCATCGCAGCTGGGCTGTGCTACCAACCTCAAACAGCTCTAATAATGAACCCAATTTTGTGTCTTTTCTCCCTTCGTTATTGGAAATTTTCGGGCGTAGCCTTCGTAGCTTGTGGTCGTGGAAGGTCGTGCGTCGGTCGTAGGGGGGGGTTGTGCGTTGTTTGTGGAGAGCCCTGTGGGTCGTGCATTCGTCATGGAGGGTAATGGTGGGTCGTGGAAGGTCTATGTCGGTTGAGGGTCGTGCGTCGGTTGAGGGTCGTGCGTCGGTTGGGGTCGTGGGTCGGTTGTTGGGGTCGTAAGTCGGTTGAGGGTCGTACGTCGGTTGAGGGTCGTGCGTCGGTTGAGGGTCGTGCGTCGGTTGTTGGGGTCGTGCGTCGGTTGTTGGGGTCGTGCGTCGGTTGTTGGGGTCGTGCGTCGGTTGTTGGGGTCGTGCGTCGGTTGTTGGGGTCGTGCGTCGGTTGTGAACTATCAAAAGATTATTTACTTGATATATACACAGTGAATTGTTGACTAGGGTTGACAGAACTTTGTAAATCTTTGGAGTCTCGAAAGTTTGAATGGTGGTGGTGGTGGTTATAGTGGTGGTTGTGGTTATAGTGGTGGTGGTGATGGAGGTGATGGTGATGGAGGTGATAGTGGAGGCAGTAATGGTAGTGGTGATGGTGATGATATTATTAATGGCATTACCACCACTAACAACAGCACCACCGCTAGTATTATTACTACAATTATCACCACAACTAAAGTGCTGCGTGCATGTACACTAAGTGCACCAGCGGGTGTGCACAGCGTTGTAGCTCATTAAGCTCCGTGCACCTGGGCACTCACTCTATCTGAAGCGTCACAGTACAGAAACCCTGATTCAGCAAGTCATCTCAGACACCTGTAACCACGATAGTCAGAGCCATCTAGCGTAGTGTACGACCCTAGCTGGCTTGAATGACCTTTGAGTACAGTGGCTGTCTGACCCCTCAACGGAGAAGTGGCTGGCAGTCTGACCCCTCAGCGGAGAAGTGGCTGGCAGTCTGACCCCTCAGCGGAGAAGTGGCTGGCAGTCTGACCCCTCAGCGGAGGAATGGCCGGTTGGTTCAGTTACATCGTACTGGGGAACGTTCTTCCCGTCAGACCCTCTCGAGCCGAAAGCTGGTTCACATATCAATGGCTGTAATAAACATTCGTATAAAGCTCCTCTATACATTATTTTTTTCCAAATGCGATTCAAAATGAGCATCCAAAATTTAATAACTAATGAAGATGTCTTCATAATATCTGCTGTTCAATTTTGGAGGCACTTTATCAATAACATTTTAAAAAAATCACTATATAAAATAGGCTTATAAGAGAGTTTACTGCCTCTCTCTTAGTTCATTACGTAGGTGTCTTCACTCTGGCAGCTGAGAGAGTACTCGCTTATTACTATTCTGTACTATTCTGTTTTGCGGCCTAGCTTCTAGGCCTCACGTGTATCCACATGCTCTTGGCGCTAGCATCCACAGGATAGATATGGGACGCACAATAAACCTAGCGGCAACGGAGGTAAAAAATCTAAAATCCTAACCTGTTTACATGCAAACTAACTTGTATTCGCTCTTTTGTTTTTTAAAATATTTGGTGAAGGAATATAGTTAAGTCACCAGTTTCTGTCGAGGAAGGGGATGAGCGAAGTTCCTCCGTCTGATCACTGTCAGAAACAGTGGTGAACCTACATTTCAGGGGCCCTGAAACTTGAACTGTTATGGGGGCCCCTTCACAACCTCATCTCACACAGTAGACCCAAAATTTTTAATCACTGTGGACTAAAGTGGCTTCTGGGGGCCCCTCCGGGATTAGGGGCCCTGGAGCTTAAGCTTCATTAATTTCACAGTAGATCTTCCTTTGGTCAAACGTGAATTGAAGATCTGGAAAGACAAACAAGTTTGTGAAATGGTGTTCTCACTACTTATAATACCATCAGCAGGCTCTTACAGTCAACTCTGGTATTAGAGGCCCTCCCAGCACTGTCAGTAACACCTCCTCTGCTAAGACTTCCACCGGTATTATCACTACCAGAAGTACTATCATCACCATCAGCACTATCACCAGCACTAATAATGTCACTATTATAATACCCTTTATTAACAACTTCATCTATCATCATCAGTACTGTGAACCATTTAGAAGCATCAGCACCTACTGTCACCACTATCTAAACTTTTACCACTAGTATCACCACTAACTACAATCACCACTATTTTCATCACTAGTACTGTTAACACAACCGGTTCATACACCCATTATGTGAAAGCATCACCACTATTACTACCACCTCTGTCACACAGTCCTTGACTACCAGCTTCACTACCACTATCACCCCTTCCACCATTACTTTCACAGCAGATATCACCATCACCACTGGTATCACTACTATCACCATCCCTACGACTACCAACAGCACCTCCACGACAAATACCAGAAATATCATCATTGTTACCACTACCACCATCACCACTTTCACATCGCAGATCCGCAGTCACTGCTGATCACACAGGTTTCCCTTGGGCTGAATGACCCAAACGGGTTTTGCACTTCAAGGAATGCATTGCAGTGCTACCATGACCTTCATCATCGCTACTACTAGGAACCTCAAATGAGACTTGTTGCCTTTTTTTTCTGTCTTTCTCGCCACAGTGATATTTATTTTTTTTTTTTTACAGCTATGAGAGGAGAGTCTTCAAGGGAGGTACCTTGATGCTCGTGTAAGGTACTTGATCAAAATAATTGAAGTTGCCTCTCCTTTCTTGGGCTAAAATTGATTACCTTTCCCTAAGGGCTTCACGCTTCCGCGTGTGTATAATAAGAGAGGACAGAGGCATGCTCTACTGTCTTGTCTTTACTGTTTATATGGTAGTTTTTAATATCAGCGGATGCAGCAGTTGCTAGTGCCTGTAAGGACGTCCCATCCCTCCATCCCCTCCCTTCCTTCCTTACCCTCTCCCCTTCATTCCTTCCTTCCTCCCTTTCCCAGCATGCAGACCCGCGTGGTTGTCTGTGTAGAGACGGGGATCTGCTCTCTTTGTACCCTTCTGCACCGTCATCGACAGGTGGAGTCCGCGCTGCCTCTCTCTCTCCTCTCTCTCTCTCTCTCTCTCTCTTATTGCTCTCCCATACTCTACACTAGAGGGGGAATGGGGTTGGATCTCCTATCTCCGCGTGTCTTTGCTTTAAATCTATCTCGATCCTCCCCTCTGGCTCCCTCGTCCGGGACTCGGTAGAGATATCCGTCCGCTGATGGGGAGATGGATTTGTCGTGTTCATGCATCCCTTACCTCGATCCCCTGTCGATCTTTACAGATTTGATGATTCTTCGTCGATGCCTTAGAACATAAAGCGAGAGAAAAGGGTTGGATCCTTCCCCCTCCACCCTAGCTTCGTCTCTTGGTTTGATTCCCAACATTTTGGTGAAGTAGAGGGGCTGGAGCTCTCGGTGTATATCCTGGTTCACTGCCCATTCGATCCATGCATTGCTTTTTGTCCGTCTTTGCGCTCTCTCTCTCTCTCTCTCTCTCTCTCTCTCTCTCTCTCAAGTCTTCCAGTGACTTACCTGGTGTTACTGTACCTGACCTAGTTCCTGGACCAGACTTACATTATGTGAGGTTCGGGGTGATATCTGCATATATTTTGCATTTTGTGCGCACTTTTTTCCCACTGTCTGCAGACTAGAAGTGTTCAAACCAACAGCCGTCCGGACGCAGGGGCTGCGGCCCAAAAGCCGGGGTTAGTTGGCCCTGTTGAAGTTGAGAAGACCAGCACTACCGAGAACCTAGGACAGAAGACACAGACGAGGCATCACTGACGCTAAAATGCTACAGTACTTGAGTGCTGGAAGACCTGCCGTGGCCCAGCCATTGGACGTACGGAACCACGACTGCAGGATTGCGATCAGCCCATCCCGGCCACAGGATGGAATCACCAGGCAGCTAATCCATTAACGGTAACCCCCCACGTGCGCGTCACCTGTACTCCATCGGGAGCCAGTGACCGATCACCATCTGATTAATACCCGTGTCAGGACGTTGTTCCTGACGAGTCCATAAACGCAGTACATTTGTTTAAGCCAGATGTGCTACTCAGCAAGCCTTCGAGAGTAGTAGTATTCTTCGGCCTTGAAAAAATCTACTGAACTTAGCACTGCATCTGCAGTCTTATCCGTGTTGACAAGCGAGAGAGTTCAGAGTTCCGTCCTGTTCCGAACTGATGCATGTCTTTGAATTAGGAAGGCTTAAGTTATATTTGAGACAAGACCACGTTGTAGAAAGAG